CCCCCCCCTCTCTTAGTGCTAGGTGAATTGTATACAAGACGAACATTATTTTTGTCTTTTGGGGAAAGGAAGGGGAAAGGAGACCAGTGCAATGCAATTATATAAAGATGATAACTTTTTCAAATAATTTAGTGTTGTACATAAGCTCATTGCACCTGCAGGAATGTTGCATTCGCTGTAAATAAACCCTGTTTCTGTCCATGGCTTCAGTTCGCTGCCAAATACGGTGCTGTGTCGAGCTCTGTGAAAGAAGAACTCAGTCCCCTGATCGACATGTTGGAGCGAGAACTGAACCGTATGGCCTACAGAATGAACGACGTGTCACGGGAGCTCAGAGCCATCTATCAGCGCAACGACTTCTACGCACAAGACATGGGTGCGGTCTACACCACAATGCAGTAAGTCACTGAGATTAATTGTGACTAAAACAAAATTATAATATATTAATGATTTTGTGACTGCTCGATTTTCTTTATCATGTGTCCATTTTTATCTCGTTCTGGTTCTGAAAGAAGTCTTTTGGTCAGGTGTATTTGATTTGTTAAATGTTTCCAGTTAATTTTTGTGTTGTTTTACTATTCCTAATGGGAGGGGGGGAGGATAATTAAATGTTTTCGAAGAGCTTAGAATCAAATGACTATTTTTCGAAGACTTTTTGTTAATAGCGGCATGAATCATTGTAGGTCCTTTTTTTCTAAGAACCATGATATTGAAGTTCCAGTAACGACAGTAAGTGGATAAACCTGGTTGTAAATGCCTCAAGTCAGCCAAGCAAAATATAAATAACTTAAAGGGCAGGCTATCCAACCCTGCAGATTAAAGACAATCTTGAGTGGTATACATTATCTTAGTTCACAGACGGATATACGTGTACTTGATAAAACAACTGCTTCAGGCCCAAGTTGAACCCGCATCAGTCATATCTCTTCTACTACAAAGAGCCTAACAATCACGCCACAGACATCAGTGCAAGCAAGTCGTAGTTCCATGTTTGTACGTAAATAGTCCCGGAATATGGGTCATGTATACGGAATAACGGCTGTGACTAGTGATAGTCTATACTGGGATGGAAAGTATTACAGATTACAGGAAACGAAGATCGATGACAAGAAGATCAGGAAGAAGGTCATAATAAAATATGCTAGATTTGGAAGAAAATAAAATGATGTAATCTAAATGAAAATAAGGGGTCTGATCATTAGCTGGAGAACTCGATACTATTTTTAAAAAACCTTAATTTATAAACATTATGCTGTTTTACGGCGTAACCATTCAAAAGCCATAATTTCCCTTATAGTGGAGACAGACATAACGGTGGAAAGAGAAAGAGAGAGGCATAGAGAAAAATAGAGAGAGAAATAGAGAAAGAGAAATTGAGATAGATAGAAAGAGAGAGAAAGAGAGAGAGAGAGAGAGAGAGAGAGAGAGAGGGAGGGAGAGCAACAGAGAGAGAGAGAGAGAGAAAGAGAGAGAGACAGGGAGACAGAGAGAGAGAGACGGAGGTATAAGGAGAGAGAGAGAGAGAAAGAGAAAGAGAGAGAGAGAGAGAGAGAGAGAGAGAGACGAGACGAGAGAGAAAGGAGAGGGTTGGGTGAGTGGGAGAATCTAAGCAGTTCGTTGCTTTCACCCAATATAATTAACATTACATTGTAAGAAAAGGTCAACCCCCAAAACATACTCAAGACATAAATAACTATTATCTATTAAACTTTGGTTACTTTTCTTTAACTTCAGTTTCAAATTTCGACAAAACAAACACACGCACACACGCACATATAAACACAAACACACACACACACACACACAGAGAGAGAAAGAGAGAGAGAGAGAGAGAGAGAGAGAGAGAGAGAGAGAGAGAGAGAGAGAGAGAGAGAGAGAGAGAGAGAGAAAAGCACATTCAGTGTACATAGACCATTATGAATTTTGATAGGTCTCTTGCTCAAAGAACAATAATTAAACACTCCCACTTTATCGTAACAGGAGAGAGTTCGATTCCATGACAATAAAATATCGCCGCACATACATGGAGCTCATCAGAACTCTGAGACAGGCCGTAGACGACATGATGGCTTTCCCTGCCAGAGAGAGGTATTCCGAATTTGTGGCTTCAGGCGTGGCCTACATGGCTAAGAACATCTACTCCTCTCTCTCCTACTTGGAAGAGTATTCAGCGGAGGCCGTAAAAGTATTGACTGAGTACAAAGAGAAGACACAGAAATTTGCCAAGTCCGTTGCAAGTGAGTGATCAAGGATGTGACGTATATCTACTTAAATATCATCAACATTAAAGTTTTGGGTTATCTTTAAACAACATTATTCTGTTTTTATATTCCACTGTATATTTCTGAAATAACACACACACACACATACACACACACACACACACACACACACACACACACACACACACTCACACACACACACACAAGCACAAAATGCATACACAAACGCATACATAAATAAATAAACACAGACACATTCACACTCACAAAATACACAAACACACACTGACATAGTTGCACAGAATATATGTGATGACATTCTGTATGTATATGTCTGTCTGTCTGTCTGTCTGTCTGTCTGTCTGTCTGTCTGTCTGTCTGTCTGTCTCTGGGTGTCTCCCCTGTTGCCAATATATTTTACCCAATTTGATGCTGGGGTAATAACTTTTAGTTGTATGGGGTATAGAACACGCTGTGGAGTTTGGACATACACGTTATAATTACACAATTAATTATCATTTTAATTATTATCAGAATGTTCTTCTAGAATAGTGTTGCTTTTATTCGTCGCCTCGTGTACATCATGCTCTTCAAACCATTGTTATTTTGTCGTCTTTGTGCTCGTCTCAATTCATCAATTTCTCAATGCCCTCTGCTACCACAGACACAGTCTACAACGCCACATACGTAGACTACATCTCAAACAGAGTCAAGAACGTCGACATTTCGCCTTACATCACTTCCTTCGAGATGCCAGAAGAGTACAGCAACGCTATTGCTGGCGCCAGAAGCTCCGCCATTTCTGGTCTTAAGACTTTGTGGGAACGTCCTGAGATTGATGGAGTCAGGAGCGAGCTGAACAGCGTCTACCAGAAGGTGAGATTCCAGAGAAATGGGATTCTCGTGCGCGATGGGGACATACCCAAAGAAAAAAGAGGATATAGCGTGAAACAGGGGGTGAGAGAATGAGAGAAATAATGTATGCGCGTGTGTGTGTGTGTGTGAGAGAGAGAGAGAGAGAGAGAGAGGGGGGGAGAGAGAAAGAGAGAGAGAGAGTGTGAGAGTGAGAGAGAGAGAGAGTGAAATAGAGAGAGTGAGAGAGAGAGAGAGAGAGAGAGAGAGAGAGAGAGAGAGACGTAGCTGAATCAGCTACAACAGCAATAATGACAACAATAACAACAATGATAGCATCAACAATACACCAACATCAACAGTAACAGCAGCAGCAATAACTACAACAACAAGAACAACAAAACCAATAACAACAACAACAAAAACAAAAACAAAAACAAAAACAACATCAACTACATCAACATCAAGAACAATACCACAACCAACAGCAGCAGAATTATGAACTGCAATCCCCATCCACCAGTTAAAATCAAACTTTGCCTTACATTGCAATAACAGAATTGTAAACCCTCCATGTGACAGGGAGCCTGGACTTACAAGTATTGGAACGTGGAGGAGAACCTGAAGACCAACATTGAGAGGATGGCCAAGCTGCTCCATGAGATTGTTGAGGATGAGCTCAAAGAACTGTCCGATCACCACCGCAAACTCTTCAAGAACCCCATCACGGTGTGGGCGCCGGAGCAGGGAGAGATCCAGGCCGAGATTCCATTGCCTTTTGACCTCAAGAGACTCGACGAAATGCCAGACATGAGCCCCCTTGTGAACAAAGCTGAGAAGTTCGCCCAAGAAGTGGCAGTCTATTTGCCTGACCAGACCACTTGGGAAAACATGAAACAGGTGTGTATTTCATTATCGTTTTCTTGTTGTTGTTTTGATTTTTTGTGTCTTTGTTTAGCTTTTAAGGAAATCTAGTATTAGCCTACTGTTCACGAACAGGTACTTGTGGATTATATATTTTTTTAAAGGGACATGCACCTTTTTTAACACACGGGTATTCAAAACGTAATTGTTATATGCCTGTATTTCAGACAACTTGCTTGTCTGTTTGACTCCAAGCCTAGCTACTGCTTGTCTGCATTCTACAACCGCCTCCTTATTTTTGTTCCTCAATTCACGTAGTCTAATACGAATGAAACCAACTCAACCCCCCCCCCCCCCCCACACACACACACATAAAAATAATTTTAAAACGGGCACAGAAAACAAAGCAAATAAAAGACAAACAAACCTATATACCTATTCAACCCCCCCCCCCCCTCAAATCAAGTAACCCACAATCAAAACGAACAAAAAGACAGGGGGGGCACACCTGAATGGGTCCACACGTCACCATTCAGGCACGAAATACAATGTAGAAAAAACACAAAAACAAACAAACAAACAAAAACAACAACAACAATATATGTACTTTCTTACAACCATGTTTTCCTCACTTTCCCAGTCCGTCTCAGACATATGGCCTGAAGCCGCAGGAGAGGTTGAGGAGAAGGAAGACACCGACGAGGTTCGTCTCACAAAGTATCCGCCTTCCCGCAGGTTCAGAATGAAGAAGGGAGGAAAGAAGCTGAGGAAATATAAGATGTAAAGGAGGAAATATAAGATGTAAAGAAGGAAAACGCCCTCTTTCTCTCCACACGAACTTGAATCGTCCAAGGACCAGTGATATTATAAAGCTTATGTTTTGCTTTTAACTTATTTAGAATGTTCTGGCAACTTTCGAAAACTGTGTCTGAAATACTTGAAATTGTAGCTAACTTTCATTATTTAACTTTTATATTATTCATTGTATTTTAACTTTGATATAAATTAAATATATTAAAACATATACGTTGCGTTGTGTTGCCTATTTCACTGAATATTACGAACGGTTTTCCAGTAACTGTCTCTACGTGAGGTGGCTGAACTTGTATAATTCCTTTTCCTCTCCATCATCCTCTTCCACCCCTTCCCTTTCTTTTCCTTCAACTCCCAGTTTTCTCTTCTTACGGCCGAGCACACTCGCTCCTTCTTACTTGACCCTTGCGCATCATTTGTTGACTTTTAAAGAAATCTCTCCTGAGCCACTGCCTGATCTTTAACTACGTTATTCCATTTTTGTTCTTCGTGTTTCTGGTCTTGCCCTTGTTCTATATCTAGTTCTTGATCTTGCTCAACTTCTCTGCCTTCTCCTCCTTCTCTTCCTTTCCTCCTCCTCCGTTTCCTTTCATCATCCTCCTCCTCTTCCTCCTCCTCGTCCTTCCCTGCATCCTTCCCCTCTTCTTCCTCCTCCTCCTCAGCATCATCCTCCTCCACCTCTACACACCATAACCTTTGCTTCGTCGACGAATTTGTTCTTTGTACATAACCTTGTATTTACTACAAAAGCGACAAGAGGGTATCTATAATTTTATTGTAAATCTACTACTTTCCCATAGACAGTTTCTAAAAATCATACGAGACGACCTGAGGGCAAAACAAAGAAATTACGAATTAAAGACCAACTCCTAAATGAGATAATCAGAAAGGGACCGAAAAAAATTGATACAATTTAGATCATTTTGGAGGCGGGCTTCGACCCTACCCGTAAGGGCCTACCCGGTCAGAGAAGGATTATAACTTTCAAACTGAAAGATCGAAACAATTGATGACTATCCACCCCACACAAGAATCGACCGTGGGTCTTCTGCGTGCTACGACGAAGCACCTTAGCGCTATTCCACCTACGAATCTGTGTATTTATAGGTCTTTCTAAAAGTACAGATAGAACAAAATAACTCAGACCGCGGGCAATTTTTATGATGACAATAAAGTAAGGGTCGAAAATAGATAATTAAAAACACGCACAGTGGAAGACCATAAGGATACCGAAAACATTATTAAGCGGCGAAGGTATTAATTCTAAAAGTAACAGTGCTCTCTCTCTCTCTCTCTCTCTCTCTCTCTCTCTCTCTCTCTCTCTCTCTCTCTCTATCTATCTATCTATCTATCTATCTATCTATCTATCTATCTATCTCCATCTCTCTCTCTCCCCTCTCTCTCTCTCTCCCCTCTCCCTCTCTCTCTCTCTCTCCCCCCCTCTCTCTCTCTCTGTGTCTCTGTCTCTGTCTCTCTCTATCTATCTCTCTCTCACGCTCTCTCTCTCTCTCTCTCTCTCTCTCTCTCTTACGCTCTCTCTCTCTCTCTTACGCTCTCTCTCTCTCTCTCTTACGCTCTCGTTTCTCGCGTTCTATCCCACTCTTTTTGTCCATGTCTCTCTTTCTCCATGTTTCTGTTCCTGAATATCTCTCTTTCTCAACCTCTCTTGTTCTTAATCTGTACAGGAGACACTGTTCACTGATGCAGCCTGCAAAAGACGTTGCTTCGATTTCTGTGTGAAGAAGCTTTTGCTATTAGGTATTTCTGTTGGTTTGCTGAACCCCACTAAGCCAGGTTAATCCAAAGAGGCAGGATCGAAGCAGCCTACCTCTCGAATGATCTGAACTATGTCAAAGGTGCGTAAAATATTTATATTCAATCGATAAAATTATTATGTTTGTCCGCCACCCCATCCACGCTCCTTCCCTTTCTCTTTCTCTCTTTGTCCATATGTATATAGAAAGAAATAGCAGGGAGGAAGGAAAGGGTTGTTTTTAAGAGGTGTGGAGGGGGGGGGGGGTGTTTAAAAGTACAGCTTGACAGTGCCATTCTTCATCCTCGCTCTCGGAGAACATCGCCTCCGAAGTCAATAAATAATGTAGAGATACAGTTACTGGTTCATCTGCGATACCTTCAACGCCAGAAAACGAAGCAATTCACCGAAATTAGGATTGAGAATGTCTGTCGTTACAAACTATTGTATCCATTATTTATCATGATAACATAGGCTTATTTTGTTATAGGAAACTGAGAAGAAAGGTAAATGATGTATGAAGATATTTCATATTTTTTGGCACACACAAACAGTTTCGTTCCTCGGTCCAATAGTCAAAATTCTTCTCTCTTTCTTATCTATATTAATATTCTTTTTCTCCTCTCAGTTTCTCCAATTCAGCTCTGAGAATGAGCTTCAGCGTGTCTCTCTGTTAACTGCTTATTCGCCTGTTTGCTACCTGAATGTCAAAACCATCCTAACAATATATTATGTCCTTTTCCGTTTCGCAAAAGACAACTTGCGGATATTTCTGATGACTTTGAAGGTACTAGAAGTTTTAACTATAACTATAATCTCAGACTAATGTCGTCAACGTTTGAAACTTCCCGCAAAATGTTTACTTTTATAAGGATACAGTGTCCTGCCGAAGAAGCAAAAGTAACCAAAACAAAACTTTTTGTTCTGAACCCTGAGCCCCAAATTAAATTACCGAACACATTCGTCCTCTTGGCCGTGTATTATTCATAGTAAGAAAAGAACAATTATCATTGCTGAAGTGCCATGGCTTTCAAGACGTCACGAAAAAAAAGAGTTGCATTGTACTACTGTTCTACAGCCCTCCTCAGTCTCAGCACACATAATTTCTGTCTTGCCTCAATAATATGACGGGTGGTAGGAGGGCACCACAACTAGATTCTAGATCCTATTTATTTTCTTACCGCTGTTGTTTCAGTCTATTGGCTTTTTCCTTACTCTAAATGGCCGCTGCCAAGTCGAGCTGCTTCTCCATACAAAAAAAAAATTAACCAAAACAAAAGCAAATAGGCCTACTTTTAGATCTGCATATTTCCAGAGCCAAATACATTCAACTTTTTACACAATCAATAAATCTGTTTTCCTACTACAGTGGCTCTTCTTTCAAGTCAGTACTACTTTAGTGGCCTATCTATTTTCTTAAAGTAAAAAGTGGTGGTGGGTATGAAGATTTGTGCTTTTGTTCTGTTCCTAGACTTTTGTTACAGGCTATTTGTTGTCTGTAGTAAAAACGTTAAACGTGAAAAAGTTTATATCTTGTGAATATACATACTACATGTATATATTGCCCACCCAGACCCTTCTATCCCTTTCTGTATCCGCCTCCTCTCTCCTCC